CTTTAATAAACTCTCTGCCTCTTCCCCCCATTTTGGGTTTCCTGAAGGGGGCTTGGCTCTTAAGGAGGCTTGGGGTGGGGGGAGATTTTTCCCACCCCCTTTTCTTTTGGGGGAGGGACTTTTAATAAAGTGGTGTTTTTCCCTCCCCTCCCGACACCCTTCACTCTTCTTGGGATCCTGAAGGTGGCCTTGGCGACGGATCGGAGCGGCTCCCGGGGGCGATGAGCGACTCGCGTCCGCCTGGGGGCGTATAAGGTGGGGAGCGAACTTGTCTCGCTGGCCTGGGGGGGGGCCGAGGGGGGTTGGCTTGGTTTTAGGAGCCCCCCCCCCAACGCTTATTTCCCGGCCCCACAGGGTGGGAGATCGCCAGGGTAGACCCCGATCTCTTTCCAACCAAGGGGGGGGGGCATGTGGGCATTAAACTCCCCCCCCTCTCTCTCTCACCTGGGTCACCCAGAGAAAACGTTTACTGTCCTTTTTCAAGTTGCTAGATCGTGTTGAGATTGATTGGGAAGGGAGGGGAAAGGAGCGGCTTTGAAAACCGGCTTCTGTTTTTTTTCTTTTTCTTTTCCTCTTCTGGGAAAGAAAATTTTTTTTAGCCATCTCAACGCTTGGGATTTCCTTTCCCCCCCCCCCCCCCCCCCCCCCCCCCAAAAAAAAAAAACTCTTCTTCCCAATTTTGTACTTTTTCTTTTTTCTTTTTGGACTTGTTTATTTTGTGCCACCCGCCTTCAGAAACGACATGGAAGCGGTTGGAAAATTTGAATTCAGCAGGAAAGATCTGATCGGGCATGGAGCTTTTGCCGTGGTCTTCAAAGGCAGGCACAAAGAGGTAAAAGAGGATTTTATTTTTATTTATTTTTTAAAAAATCCTGGCCTCAGTTTCAAAAAAAAAAAAAAAATGGGAGGGATTTTTGGTGATTTTTCTGCTGAGACAAGCGAGGGCATTCTTGATGCCCTGGCTTGTCTCAGCAGAAAAAAACACCAAAACCCTCTTGGAATGACAAATCTCTGATATGAAAAAAGGAGTAATTGAATCCTTGATTCAACCAACTTGATCCGAACAGGGGCAAGTTAAAACTTATAAATCTGTGTTGGCACTTTAGTTAACCTGTTTCCCTCCCCAGTTCCTTCTAAGAAAATCCTCTGACTTTTTTGAGCAATCCCCAAATTTCAAATTAATCCACAAGTATGCCGGGCAAAACATGTCACAGAGTGCCTCTCTAACCATCCCCAAAGATCTGTTAAAAAAAACAGCCATGGGTTTTCTCAAGGAACTTTGTAAAAGAGACACAGACTGAATCACTCAGCTGATGCAATTAGGGGAAAGAAATTGAGAATTTGCTTAGGCATAAAACAAACCCAGGCCTTATCTTACTGGCTTGGCAAGGCTTTCCTATCTCAAAAAGCAGCCACAAAGCAAGGAACGACTCTAGTTGTCCTTGAGGATCTATAAATAAATGTATTTTGGGTTTCTATTTAATAGCGTGGTCGCTATGGGAGACTTAAGTATCTCCAGGCAGGAGAACACCTGGAGTGCTTTTAGGCTGGGAGCAGGCCTGCATTTTATGTATTTATAAATTGTTGGTGGGAACATCTCCCAAAGTCTCATGATTATCTTTGGAGGAAGAAAAGTGATAAATGAAGGCAGGGATTTATTGAATAGGAAGGATCTTGGCAAAGAGTTTGCAAAATTAGAATTGCTTCTGTAGCAGGGCTGAGCCATTCTTGCTAAAAGCAAACATCTTCAGACTGTCTACTCTATTGTATCCTTTCCTTCATACGTTATAATAAAGTAAATGTGCAATTATCTATTTGGGGACTTGAAGAGGGGAGACAGAAGGAAGTTCACATCCTTTGCTTTGTAAGGCTGCATGGAAGTTTGTTGCTAGAAATAAGGCCTTATTTAATTTGGAAGTGGTTTTGTGCTGGAGGAGGTGTTAAGAAGGGAAAGAAATTAAACCAGAGCAGGCAAGTCTGAACTTGTCTTGGCTAAAGACCAGAAAACTGAATAAACTATCATTTTCAGAATCGACTTTTATACTGTTGGCTATTATCCAATTTGTTTGCCCCCTAAACTGCTGACATATGTTATTTATCTGCGTTTGACCCACACGAATCCAGCTTTGTGGGTCTGTTGAAGTGTGTGATGGGAAACTCCTACTCACCGTCTCCCTTGATATTCCAACTTTCAGAAACCCGAAGTCGAGGTGGCCATCAAATGCATTAACAAGAAAAACTTGGCCAAATCCCAGACTCTCTTGGGGAAGGAGATCAAGATATTGAAGGTAAAGGGGAAGTGGCTTTGGAGAGAGCGAACCTCGTCGCCTCAATTGCTAGCTGTGTTTATCTTTCTTGGATACTTATTGTCTCCCCCTCCCACCCCTCTTTTCTTTCTAGGAACTGAAACATGATAACATCGTGGCTCTCTATGACTTCCAGGTAGGGAAGCGTTGACGGTCAAGTCAGTGGGTGAAGCGAAGATGTTGTTCGATTTGCTTTTTATAGGGGATGACAAACTAGGATGAAGATTTGATGAAAGCTCCAGTTAGGTTGACCTCTAAACCCATGGGGCTGGAGGTCTTTAGCTGAAATGGAAGACTTTGTATATAGAATATTAGAATAGGGAATATTCTTTATTGGCCAAGTGTGATTGGACACACAAGGAATCGTTCTCCGGTGCATAAGCTCTCAGCGTACATGCAAACAACCAATATAATGAGATACCCAGAGGAGAAGGTAGTGGAAAAAATGAGAAGGATAATAGTAATATTGACCTACTATATGGGTAAAATATCTTTAGATGTAAGGCAGTGCTGTGGGAATTAGGTGTTCCGCAGAGTGATCGCATGAGGAAAAAGAAATCTAGTTTTGGCATGCAATGGCAAAAGGCAATCCTTAAAAAGCTTTTATGTATATGTATATGTGTAATATATATATATATGAATATGTATGTATGTGTGTGTGTATATATATATATATCAATATTAATATATAGATATATATGTGAATATATGTATATATATAGCAATCCTTAAAGAGCTGCAGGTTATTTTACAAGAAAGAAAAATGTTTGGCTTAAGAGTGCATTGCTATAATTTGGGGATCTGAGCCATTGGTATTTGTGTGGCCCTTGTCTAAAATCTCATTGCTGGCATTGTTACTGTTGCTGGTTTAACCTGTTTATTATTTCCTTGGGGAAGTTTAGGGCCCTTTGTTCAGTTACATTGTGTGTTTTTTTTAAAACAAACAAAAAAAAAAACACCAAAAAATTATGAAGTTACATAGATGAAGGCGGGAACAGGAAGGGCATTTCCTGTTTTGTATTTGTGTTTTGATTGATTTATCTTTTTTGGAGCCTTTTTGGTCAAGTAGAAAACGATGGATCTCGTTGCGACATGTCATGGAGGATCTGGCTTTTGAGCTGTTTTATCTCTCCTTGTTGTGGCAATAACTTCGGTGTGGATGTTTATATCTCTTGCGTCTGGGCACATCTCCACCCTCTTCAGGAAACATGCAACAAAAAAAAAAAAGGGCTTGGTTAGTTTCCCAACGAAATTGACCAATGTTGTTTGCCTCTGCAGGGTTTGCAATGCTGTGCAATTAAGTATGTGTGTGTGTGTGTACACAAGTCACTCTGCTTGGGGGTAGAATTGCCTAAATCCCATTTGGAACCCAGATCCCTGGGCCAGTTTTCAATCCCAGGCCTTTGTTTTGGAGATTAACTGCTGCAAGCCGGTGGTTGCGCGAGAGACTGGCTGGCTGGCTTGTTGCAATCGTGCACCCGAGGTTTGTTTGCCTGTCTGGCCCGTCATGTGGTCTCCAGGCCTCCTTGTTTGTTGACATTCTTTTGGCCGGCTCTGGTTGGCCCAGAGCGGCTCCTGCGTCAGGCTTGCAATTTGATGCCTCTGGAACCTTGTGTGGCGTGAGCCGCCTCCGTTGCAAGCGAGGCATGCTGGGAACGGTAGTCTTTGGTTGCAAAGGGGTGGCTTTGGTTGGTAGGGTTTGCGGTTGTGGGGGTTGCAGTTTTGCAATTTGACAACATTTGACCATGCTTTCCTCGCCCCTTCGCCCCCGCTTTTCCTTCCCTCCCTCCCAAATTTCTTCTTGCTTCAAACTGGGTTGGAGAAAACGAGTGGGGGGAAAAGGGTTTGTTTTGGTTTTTTTCAGATTAGTTGATCAGGTGACTTGATAGCAGTCTTCCAAAATTTGAGGGGCTGCCACAAAAAAAAAGGGGGGGGGGTGTCAACCTGTTGCCCAAAGCACCTAAAAGTAAGACGAGAAAATAACAAATGGAAGCTTATCAACCCAGATCCGAAGTAGAAATGGAGAGAAATATTTCCAGGCAGTGAAGACAATTAATCAGTGGAACGATTTGCCTTCCAAAGTTGTGGGTGCTCCATCACTGGAAGCCTTTTTTTAAAGAAGAGACTGGACTGCCATGTGTCCAGAATGGGATAGGGTCTCCTGCTTGAGCAGGGGTTGGACTAGAAGACCTCCAAGGTCCCTTCCAGCTGTTAAAGTCTGTATGCTATCTTCTTTTCTTTTCCCACCCCTAACCCCCAACTTGGAAACCAAGCAGACGCCCTCAAACCTCTTTTCTGAGAACCCTGGAATTAAATAATGCAGGACAAAAACTACGGGACCCGAACGTGGTGTACTGTGTGAGGTTGCCAGCCTGTGTGTTTGATTTGGGTGCTGCAGCGTGCATGGGAAAACACAGCTGTCTGTTCCCTTTGCTGTTGGAAAACAAGACTCTGGAATTTGGACAGTTGGATTGTGTTTTCTGTTATTTGATAGGTGTTTATTTAAAGAGGTGGTTCTCTCAGGCTTTAACTCAAAAGGGCCAAGGATAGTTTTGGAGATTGCATTGCCTTTCAGGTTCACAGTTTAAAAGGCATGGCACGAAAGGAAAAATAAAGAGGAAGGAGAAGGGGGGGGAAAAAAGGAGAATTAAGTAGATATCTGTATCTTCGCAGCTGGAGAAGAACAATTTAACCAGGCCTGTTAAGTGGCTTAACTAAATCAGATGTACCCTAACCCTAACATACACACACCCGGCGCCATGCCTCCAACCCAGAAAGGTTGGAGAACGTTGCTTCCATATAATTATATATAATTAATGTGTAGAAATAATTATATATATATAAGCAAAATACCCCTCATGCATCGTCACAAAATCTCCAGAACCGTAAAGCTTACAAACTTGAAATTTGGCACATAGGTTCCTCTTAGCTTCTAAGTACTCACTAAGAAAGGATTTCACCATCAGAGCAGTAGTATTTCCTATATTATTATTATTAACGTGCTCTGATGCTAAGGAGTTCTACTCCCCCTCCCCACCTGAAAAGAAATCTGTTCCAAATGCAAAACACAAGCAGAGGAGAGGAGGTTCAGTTTCACAAACCGCAACCAGCCTTGGTACAGAACAGCCGCAACTAGCTTTAGTACAGAACAGTTGAGCTAAGCCATGCCTTGCTGTTCCCTTCTTGCTCACACAGCAAATACTGTTTCAGTTTCCAAACAGCCCTCAACTCTTTCAAACACTGACAGGACGATAGCCAGATGAATATACCGATGGATGCTGGTAGGCAGAGGCAGAATTCCCACCCCCTTATTTTCTTCCCCTCAAATTAAGCCCGACCACATAGTTTTATAGCAAAGCACGGATATCCAGCTATAATGTCACCAAGTCAGACTGAACACCAAGTCAGAGTGAATGATTAAAACGGCAACATACAAAGGTTTCCTTCATTTTGTTTTTTTATGATCTTGTGGGGCCATCAGGGCTTGAGGTTGTACAATTCTATGTCCCCCTGCTTGGATTTCCTCAAAACAGGCTTTGCCTCAATGCGATGGGGAACTAGCCAGTAGCCATGTTCACCGCCTCGCCTCGCCGGTCTAGCTTGGTGTGGTTTCTGAATCCAGCTATTGTGGTTTGTAGACTGTGGTTTAGGGATAAGGGTGATGTATGGATATTGGGTCCTTCAATGTTGCTTGCCTGCAGTTACGTGGGACCTTCTGGTCAAAAGCCCAGATAAATCTCTCTCAACGTGCCCGATTTCCCATTTTAAATGGTTTTTTGTATGAAGATGTCATCAGAAGGGAATCCAACCAGGATGATCTTCTTCTTCTCCTTC